TAAAGAAAAAAAATTTAATTATTATTTATTTATTATATAAAATTATATAATTAAATTTTATGTAAAAATCAAATTAAGACAATTAAATCTTATTAGAGTATATCAAAAATTGTCCTCAAAATTTTAATCTAGACTAAAGTTTAAAAAATGACAATTTCTTGGACAGGGGAGTATTATTAGTCAATTACTCTCTGCTAGATAAAGTTCTTAATTTGAGGTAATTTAGTTGTCTATTTTTTTGGATTTTATTTAATGTTTTTATTTTTATTTTATCTTTTTTTAACATTTATTGAATAAAAAATCTTATTTGAATAGTGATTAATTAAGAATAAATATAAAATTTTACCAATTAAGTATTATATCTTTAATATTTTATTAAAAAAACTAGATTTATTAAAATTGAATGGATATGGAGTAAAAAAATAAAGATACAGTAAATGCCTATCTTTTCATTGCAGAGTTAATTCATGTCTTTATTGCATTTAAATGCATGTACTCAAATCATATTAATCTTGACACAAATGGAAAATGAACTTCAATAATATTTTTATAAAAAAAGATATTAATTTATTTTGACTCTACGCTATTAAATTAAATGAAACGATACTAAAATACATGTCTTTTGTTTCACCAGTCATATACATGCTTCTCAAATGTGGTTTATCATAATATATATTGTCTCAAAATCATTTAAATTTAAATTTTTATTTTTATGAGCCAAAAGGAATGAATTTTATCAAGGGACAAGGGACATTCTCCAACCCCTTTTTCTATCAAACTTACTCACATAATATCTGCTTTAATTGAATCCTCGCAGGTTTTCGAACTATGGAAAGGCCTCAGTCCCTAATTGTGCAGGATGCAATTGACAAAGGGAATGTTAATGCTGTAATGGGCTTTTTTAAGAGCAATCCAGGGGTAGAAAAATTAGCATTATGGACGGGTTTGCCTCCTCTTCATCATGCAACCATTGTTGGCAAGTCAAACATCGTCAAGGCATTGTTTGAGAATATGCCTGCAGTGCAAAAGGATCTATGGGATAATACAGCTCTAACACATGCTGCTCAGGTTGGAAACACCGAGATTGCAAAAATATTTAGTTAGTAAGGATTCTTCTTTGCTTTCTATGGAAAATGACGATCAGTATATCCCGGTTGTAACGGCATGTGCACAAGGGCATGAGGAGGTGACAAACTTTCTCTATTCTGAAACCCCATTCGAAATCCTATTATGCCAAAACGGAAAACAAGGATCCAAATTACTTCATTTCTGTTTTAAATCCAAAAGATTTGGTAAGAGCATGCGAAGTTTAACCACGTAAAATGAAATTTTATACTGTAGTTAAACATATAAAATGACAACATTTTTAATATATGACTTTAAAATGCGTAGATATCATGTTCGATGTACTTCGCCGTCGTCAAAGTTTAATTGATGAAAATTGGAAGGATCTTTTGGATGGATTCTCCCAAACACCAACAGCATTCAGCAGTGGAAGTGGGCTAACATTTTGGCAACGATGGATCTATGGGTGTGAGTATCGTTTATTCGTTCGCTTTAATTACTTCCATGGATTCCCACTTTTGTCTCTTTTATTTGTTTCTTTCATAAATTTGATTGTTTTGTTGGTAATCTCATAAAATAATTAGAAATGCTTTTTTAATAGCCAATTATGCTACATGTTAATGCATGCGCAGCATGCCTTTTTTTTTTCTTTATTGCTTTTCTCTTATATAGTTCAATTGCTTTTCTTGAGTGATTAATTTAATCTTATATTAATTGTTGTTGTTAAAAGGTTTTAAGGTACACATACCTCTCGATTTTGCTGCTGTTACTATTAATCAGAAAGGAAAAAAATTTGAAGAGATACCATTGTCAGGTATGTTCTACTTTCTCTTCCTCTATATATAAAGAAAAGCAAAATCAACTCTACTCATATACAACCATTAACTATATTTTAATTACCTACACCACGTTGTCCCCATTAGATTCCATTGAATATATATGGTGTTGTTTCTGGATAAACTAATGTTGTTTCAATATTAATTTGTTAATAAGGAGTCAGGTTATTCACAATATAATATTCTCTTGATCTAAAATTTTTTAAAATGATTTAGATCTGTTGAATTTTTTTCCATTTTAATTTTTTGTTTTTTGGTTATTAGGTCGACCATGGAGATTTGGCTTCATTCCTTCTTCCATTCTTAGGTATAACACAATCAAGGTTTTTTTTTTTCTGTCCGATTAACAAAATCAAGTTTTTAATTTATCTTTTACTTCTATGCTTATGCTTTATTTTTATTCTTAATTTAGGCATAAAGCAAATATATGCTTTAAAGTTGAGCCATGGTTTCGCCCGTGCAAGTCTATGTTTGATTTATCAGCACCTGACAAAATTACACTTGAGGAAATTTGAGGACACGATTGCATTAAGGAAAGCACTCACCAGGGTGATCGAGAATGACATTTATGATTTTTTAACTGAAATGGTCGAAACTAATGCAGACTTACTTTTTGCACCGGTTCCAAATGATGAGACTACAAGTGACAACCTTCTCATGGATGCTACTGCATTTCGTCGGGAGAAAATTGCTCGCCTTCTTATTGGACTCCCCCATTGCAAGGTATTTATCAATGCCGTGGATTCACAGCAGAACACTATATTACATATGGCAGGCAAATTGGCTTCTGATTCTCAACTTTCTCGCATTTCTGGTGCTGCTCTACAAATGCAAAGAGAGATACAATGGTTCAAGGTATGCAATGAAAATCAATAGTTTTTATTAATCATAAATTATAGTACTTAGGAATATATATGAGGATAGTCCAACTATATAAAATTCTCTAAATAACAAGTATTAAGAGCTGCAAATTCCCAAAAGCACATTAGGAGTTGAGTACTATATATGTAGAACACAATGGTAGCTCCACTAAAAACAAAAATGTAATATGCTAAGGAAATCAACATTGGTCATCTTGTCGTTGAAATGAACTAGAAGCCAAAAACACTGCCTCACAAAACATTCCTTCCCATCTTCAGAATCTAAATACGCTTGAGCCTCTTTCGATCCATTGTAGGATTCTTCTTTACACTTTTGCTTAATTCTTTCTAACAATTAAATTAAATTACATTTTACTATTATTTTACTTCGGTCATCAATTAAACCCTTTTTTCTTCTAAAAGACCCTTTTTGTCTATGCTGCTTTATTATATACATATATGTATGTGAATATAGGATTTCACGTTTAAATTATTAATTTTAAAAATGCAGGAGGTTGAAAGCCTTCTTAGCCAGCGTTATAAAGATTCCAAAAACAAAAATGGTGAAACTGCTTACCAAGTTTTAGCTAGAGAGCACAAAGCTTTGCTTAAGGAAGCAGAGGATTGGATGAAAGGATTAGCAAATTCATATATAATTGTTGGCGCTCTCATCATCACCATAATGTTCGCAGCAGCTTTTACCCTTCCTGGGGGTAACGATCAAAATAAGGGATTTCCAATATTCAAAAACAAAGCAACATTTTTGGTATACATAATATCCGTTGCAATCTCTCTGTTTGCTGCAGCTGCCTCAGTAATAATATTTTTGGGATTTCTCACATCACGTTACAACATGAAAGATTTCCACACACCTGTTCCCAAGAAGTTGATGGCTGGGCTTTCTACTTTGTTTGTCTCTCTTGCAGCAATGATGATAGCATTTTGCTCAGCTATTTTTCTCATGCTAGAAAACCGATGGTGGATTATCATTCCATCCGTGTTACTTGCAGGCATTCCAGTCGGCTTGTTTGCGTGGTTGCAATTTCCTCTGCTTGTTGAGATTTATGTTTTAACTTACAGATCAGCAATTTTCAGTGAGAAAAGATCCTTGGCAAGCAAAATAAAAGCATTCTTCTCTGGGAAAAAGAAGATTGAGTAGGTCTAGATGAGTTTTTGTTTTATGTTTGTCTTTATTGGTACCGTAGCAACTCTAAGGTCCATGCTTGGTTGTAAGTGAACATTAATTTTATTGCCACTTTGTTTTTGTTATGCCATAGAATTCTTCTGGTGCCTGCATAATTTTCAGAGTTCACATATAAGGAAATTGGTGTTCACATATATCTAGGGGGCTTAGCTATTGATCTTTGAATGTCAATCCGGTAAAACAAGCTAGTAAAAAGAGGTAATAGAAACCACAGTCAAGAATTTCATTTATTTATTTTTTTTCAAAATATATTCTCTCTATTTAATTTTGTCTTTTAAATGTTTCTAATTTATTTATTTGTTTTTTCTTTTAAACAGGGGAGAATTTTGGAAGAACGAGAAAATATTATAACTATCCCGATAAGCACTCAAACCTTGACTTAAGTCAGGGTGTTTGATGCACATTATTAACCCAACTAAGGCTGCTAGTGCATTTCTAATTTATTTATTGATCTCCAGAATTTTGGCATGTAGTAGTTTCAATGATGGATATTTCTGCCACCATTTCTCTTAACTATCCTTCTTTAGTAACTTTTGTTTGTTCAGTTGTTCTACTTTGATTCTAAATGCCAAGTTTTTTCTTCAACGTCCCTAATTCTGAATCAATTCTTTAAGTGGTTCAGTAAAATATATTACTTTTTGTATAAAAATAAAAGATGACGAATCAAATATCTAAAGTTTGGTGTCAATATCTATAATTTAAAATTAAATATACAAATAAAATTCAAGTTCCGTCATAATTGAATCAATTATGTTTACTTTATTTAATTCTGCCATACAACATTTTCTTTGCATAAAAGTTTGATTTATTAATATTGCATTACTTCGAAAGCTTTCACATCCAACTAAGTTGATATAAATAAGTATCATCCTTATCAACAATGAAAAGTAAAGAAAAAGTTCATACCTTTTTAAAACAAAAAGGAAAGAGCTCCAACATGGACAGTAAAACATGATAAATAAAAAGAAACAAACAAAAAAAATCATTAAAATAAAAATAATAAAACAAAAATAAAATGATATCATTCTTCTCAAAAAGAAGAAGTCCTTACCATATATATATATATATTTTTTTAAAAAGGCATGGAGGAAAATAACAAATTATTAAGTGACCAACAGGAAAGAGGAAAAAGGACAGAGAATTAGAACAAAAAGCTAAAAATATGTGTTTTCCTACTTGAGGATATTTGACATTTTCCTTCATTAATTTTCAGCTAAGCAAAAACCTTTGAGTGCACATACACTTGACGTCCTTTTATTCTACATTAATAAAAACTTACATGCCAAATTTATATAACATCTATGCTAAAAGGCTAAAACTTTCTTTTTACCAAGCTCACAATTAAGTATGACAGCATAGAAAAAAGGCAAGAGCACTTGCTTTTGAGAATTATGAAGAGATTATGGACTATTGAAGCCATTCTTATTTCAATTGAGATTGTGTAGTTGAAAGTCTTATTTGTATGAAAGTTTTAATAAATGAAAGCACTTA